CACTTTTTTTCCTGGCAGACCCAATATTCAAAGAACGCAACGTTGCTTGAAATAAAGACTCAACTTTTTTAGAGCTGAGCTTATCCCGTCAACCAAGTATTCAGATAAATTATGCTGACTTCTTCAATCAATAGAGACTAGGAAGCTGCAGATCCAAAAATGTTGACGTCCTCGCAGGCTGATAACGGTAGGAAAACCACCTTCAAAAATGGCGCTTGAAAGTGTCCAAAAAATAGCTAACGCTACCATTGTTGCTGCTGCAATACTTGTGAAAAACGCAAAGCACAAACAGCTTTGACATTTTCCTTCTATCAATTGCATATCCCCTTATGACAGAAGTGACGCACTCTTCAATGATGGACAAAGCTTGGGTTTAGTGGATGTTTTTCCGATAGTTATTACTGCATATTGTCACTATCTATGTCGCCTTTTTGTTTGCGCGCGCGTTGCAGACATATTTCCTTTGTTTTTGCTTTAACCATGGTACTTCATTCTCTTTCAGGCTCCACGACGTAGCCTCCATTCTCGTATCCATCAAGAATTAAACTCACCTTCGCCATCTTATATACTGGAATCATTTCAATGGCCTTAGTTGGAAACATTTTGGTGATCTATATTCTGTACAAGAGGCCAGAAACAAGAATATTAAGAAGCTTCATGTGCGTCAACCTCGCTGTGGCCGACTTGCTCGTAACAGCTGTTGTCATGCCTCAGTCGATGGAACAAATCATTTTTGACAATCTGTGGATCGATGTTGTTTTCTTCGTGGCGGTCACAGCGTCCGTCTTCTCTCTAACAGCCGTGGCTTTTGACTTCTTCTTCGGGATTGTCCTTCCAATGCAAAAGTTCCCTCGCCTTGGGAACAAAAAGATCTTGGTTCCCACAATTTGGATCCCCTCAATGTGTCTGATGACTCCATGGCTGATCACAATCAAAGTTAAGAACTCCAGGATAGAATTTAAGTTTACTCAGTTTGGCGAGACTCAAGCAGCTTTGAGAGGTATCTTCTTTACATCGTAGTCATCATCTACTTAGTGCCCCTAGTTACCATGTGCATTCTCTATGGACACGTCTGTCATACACTCCACAGGCACAAACTGCCGGGCATTGCCATCAACAATCGCGCAACAACTCGGGCCCACGCTACCAAGCGTCAAGTGATTCATATGTCGATAGCTGTCGTTGTTGCTTTTGCACTTTGCTGGCTTCTAGCGCACGCGTATCATATGATTTTGGCCATTGACTTCAGTGTCCGTGAATCGCTGCCATATTATATTATGCTGTTATGCTATTGGTGTGGACATGCAAACAGCGTTGTTTACCCGTGGCTCCTGATATACCTTAAGAAGAAATTCCGTGCCGCATTTAAGAGAATGATAACTTATCCATTATCGAGAATCTCATTTGCTAGCAAGAATAATGAGAGCGTAAGAAGTGTAACTAGACTGCCTATCAGAGACCCGATTGTCCAAGTAAGAGAACATTACCAGTTTGCAAGTTCTTTGTAAGGATTATTGTTAACTCTTTATAGGTTTTATTATATTCAAGTTGTAAAATTTGCAAGCTCATTATAAGTCCAGATATCAGCAGTTGAAGTGTTTCCTTCACACCAAATTAATTGAATTCAGATCGATGGATTAGGACTCTGCAGAACGTGATCCACTAAATCAAGGATTGACTTAACCTGTTTTGTCTCCATGCTGCATTTGGCTCGCATGATGGTATAATACAAAACATAATTATTATCATAGAATACGTATGTAGATTTTTACCGTCTAGGTGATACCCGGAAACTGTTTGGGAAATGAGGCCTGACCCACACTCGAGAGAATGGGGGAAGTAGAGCCTTCAAAAGAAACAAAACAAAAGAAAAAATTCACTTTACCATGACAATGCAAATTGCGTTCGAAGAAAAAGAGCTCTTAAAGATGGAAGACAATGCTGCACAGCGTCACAACTCATAGAAGCGTTTAGTGTAGACCGAGCTACATGTTAAAACTGGTGCTTTGTGGATTAGTTTGTCCCATTGGAATAAGGATCACAAATCAAGCCACCTGACCACACCAGTCTTGGCTTACAGCTTGGGATGTTGTTCGGTCATCAGGTCAGAGAGAGACAAGGTAGAATCGGGTCATCAGATTTCACATATCGCCCCATGTAAGGTAATCCGGATTCCGGAATCCAGGAAATTTTTGCTTGTGGAGTCCCGAATACTGGGCATTGGAATTCAGAATCCCGCTAGATAATGAATCCAGAATCCATTTGCTGAAGATCATTTTCAAATCGTATTAACGGCTTTCATGTGCATCCATGCAACCACGGTCATGCTAAAACGTAGACTGCAGACCGTGCAGATCATGTAGAGCGCGCTTTGTTCGCTGCAGAATTTTGACCGCTACAGCTCGCGTGACAACGACAAATTCAGTCATGACCTATCACTCAGTCGACTTCGATACTGTAATGGCCAAAGTTCCTTACTAGCTATTAATCAGTCTTCTACTCCGATTCAAAAATCTTATTCCTAGTAAAGTTCAATTTTAGCTTGCAGCACTTTCTTTACCGTAAAGTTCTTTGGGTTGTCTTGTGAAGATCCTGGTAATCATTTGCTTCGTTCATACAGCACATTCCATACCTCTAAAACAGCTTCACTGTCCGCAAAAATAACATCTGCAATACACCTAGCCGTGTGGGGCTAATCTCCATGAGCTCGAGAAACTTGAGCCTGTGATTTTGCTTTGCTAGGTAACGAGAGTTCGATATAAACTCGTAAAATTTCGTCATGTGGTGTCCAAAACTTGGAAAAACGTTACCAAAAGAGCAAGAAAGTGGTGTATACACCTTAATCATATGTAAATCACAGTTTAAAAAAAGCAAACAAAAAATAGCTCAGCCCGCACGGTCTGCGCGGTTTGCACAGTCTGCATGGTCTGCAGTCTGCGTTTTATGATGACTAATGCAACCGCTGTGGAGTGCAGTTCACTCACGTGGTCAATGGGTTGGCAAATTTGGAGAGACAAAAGAAATTGTTTACGTGACAAAAGCACTCAAATTCCCCAGGATATGCTTGGAACACCAACGTGGCAACGGACCACACGTTTCCAGTTACGACAAACTTTGAACAAAGATATATATGGACACCTATGGGAGCCGGGAGAATTTTCGCTATTGGAACGTAAACCGCTTTCTTTGATATTTGGCATTCGGAATAATAAATTTGAATATTTAATAAAACATCTTATCTCAGTGCGAATAAAATAAGATATTACCAGATTTTAGGGTCAAACTTGAAAAAAAAAAGCGACGAGCCACCTTAAACCTTTATAGAATCATTTTTCTGGAGAATTCATAGCCGAAGTAATGTGACTTGACTTGGTTAACCTTTTAAAGAAAAATGAAGTATAGAAAAGAGAACCTGTTATTCTTGGAAAATTTGTGTAAATGCAGATCTTTTGCGATTTTGCAAAGGTTTGAGTATAGTTGAGTTGGTTACACACCGTTTTATGCACAATCTCATAATGTCGAACATCATCTCTAATTACACGTAGGAAAACAAGCTTTTCTTGGTCATAGTCTGGGATTTATTTGCGACATCACGGGGTAGTACAAAACTTGTATTTCAGTTTAAATATTTCCTTAGTTTGGTTTTTGTTTAAAAGGAAAGTTAAAAAGTAATTTGAGAGGGAATCCGGAATCTTCAGGAGTAGAATCCGGAATCCACAGCGTAAAATCCAGAATCTAAACTGTCCCGGATTACCTCACATGGGGTGACACATACGACTAAACCTTACGCGTATTCACGTCAAATCGCCAATTTTCACCCAAGTGTGGAGTAGTACACATATATAGTAACATATTTCCATAGCATTGATACCAAAACATCATTCACGCGTAAACTAAACGGCCAAGATACAAGGGAAGTTTAGAGTGAACGAGTCTTGGGGTGAATTCTCAGCAAATGAATTATTCATTGGAAAAAGGATTATTCTTCAAATCTCCTCAAGTAACTCCATGCACACCTACGTGTACTTTAGCCCTCTTACAATAAAAATCTTAGCAGAGTCTTCCAACAATTTCTCTCACATTCTGGGGTCTCAATACATTTAACTCTCGCTAAGAGCGGTCCTCTCAACTTCCCGTCGAAAAAAAAGTTTCCTTTTATTTTTTGCCCATGAAAAGGGTTTAAGACACATGTTTCAAAAATTGTTTAGTTTTTCTCCAATTCTCTTTTTTTGCGTCGCCACAAGCCAAAAATGATTTCTGGCCAGACCACTTCTGTGGACAGCGATCGAAAGCGTAAGTTTCAAAGATTTTGTCCAGCGCGCAGCGACTGCAACAATGTAGCTCACGGAATTCTATCTTGCTCCAAGTTACATGATGTATTCAGTTAGTTCACAGCAAAATATGGAAACTTCAGCTGAAATATTTTTCATACCAGCGTGATCAGAGGAGACCCTTCTCTTCGACCTTAATTTGCATTACAAAAATTCACTACTTTGTACGAAAGAATTCTCAAAATGCAGGCGTTAATCAGGCTGAAAAGGCATATCAGTGCATAGTTAATACACCAATGAGGTCCGGATTGCCTCATCCATCCAACAACTTCTTAAAAAACAACGCAGATCCATGTGTTTGCTAAATTGCGCTCGTGTCAAAGATCATTTGCATGATTCTTAAAATTGACCAACATCTCCTTTTGACCGTTCAAACTTCGTTCGTTTATCTTCTACGTTGAGGATTTTAGGTTTTTACAGCAACTGAATGGAGAATAGATGCCGAGTTGTCCTAAAACGTTGCGTAAACGTGATCGGTCGTAACGCTTGCGCGCTTGCGTGACTTACAAAGTAGACAAAGGTGATCGGAAGGCGCCTTCTCGATAATTTACGTTGAAATATCAGGTCATGAACTACGCACAGTGTGGAGAAGATCAAAATTAAAGAATAAAATTTGGCACTCTGGTCATAACAGACATATCGCGTTGCTCAAAAGGACACAAAAACAGGTTAAAATAGGTTACAGTGTTTATATTTACAAAACAACCCGCATACACTCTGAAATAATTCTTGCAGTTTCTCCCGAGATTTAGTATACGGAACCCGATGAACTAACCCTCCTTTCCGCAGATTTGTTTCCATAACTAATGATGTTACGCTCTTATGGACCACAATGGTTTTGAGCGACAAACTCGACATTTCCCTGCGATCATCAAAATCAACTGGACAAACCCAGCTTGATATATTGCGTGACGTGATTGTGCAAATTTTTCCCCTTGCCATATGGCCTGTTTCGCGGGTCCTACAAATTGAAACCAAAATTAGTTAGTGTAACGGATTAGAATCGAAAGTTATTAACATGGACTGAATTACATTTTAATGAGAATTTTAACTCTTAAGAAGGTTTACTTGATTCATGGAAAGCAAAGATTGGAGTGGCTTTGGGTATTTCATCCCTGATTTTAGTTCAACCTATACAAATTAGGATTGTAATACTCTGAACAGAAGGGTTTTTATATACTTTGCTGCTGAAGGGGTGTACATAAAATAAATATTTCACTCCAGAATATGGTACCACAAAACAATAGAATTTATGTTTGTGGGAATAAATATGTTTTCAGTGCTGACTCATTGTCATTTAAGCTGCCTAAATCTATTGAGGCTACAAAATCATGTTTCCCAAAAAAAATGTAAAAAATACTTTCCAAACAAGAGATAGGTTTACCTTCTGCTCCATTGAAAAAAATAGTAGTGAAGGCTCACAAGACAAAATTGACTTGGGCCAATAAAAATAAAGTAATAATGGAGTTTCTAACAATGGGAAAATAGAATTAACTGTGGAGATGACTTCCAAATTGTCAATTTAAGTGCATGAAGTTACCTTTAAAGATGAGTGTTTTGCAGCCTGTTTAAGATGATTTTTTAGTTGTAGAGCAAATTCTCTGGTTGGTGTCATTATCAATGCCAGGAGTGGTTTCTTGAGCTTGGATGTTCCATTACCAGTTTCTGTGGCTTCTGTAGCATTATTTTTGGTAGTATTTTCTGTAGTTTCACCTGCTTCTTGACTGGACTTGTGGCCAAGGATGTGGGTGAGAATTGGAATCCCAAAGGCTAGTGTTTTACCTGAACCCTAGTAAATACACACAATTTTTTAAATTAATACCCTTAAATAATAACCTCCTCAAAAACCAGCCATTCCTGAAATCTATGCTTCTCCCAAGTGATTTTATCATAACTTCAGCAGACAATTTCAAGGCATTATCCAACAAATGATATGAGAACTACAAAACTTGCAAGCTGAAGGGACTTATCTTGATAATCTTATTGTAATGCACATTTTTGTATAAATAATGTTCCATCAACCAACTATAGGAAGATAGATTACACCTACATATAGAAGGAAGAACTATCAAGTTAGTTCTTAAGATCTAGCAAAATTTAACCTTCAGTTAATCAGTCAGTCAGAGCTCTCTCTCAAGAGGTACACTATACACATAATTTCAGCTCGACAGCTCTCCTCAAAAGTGCTTTCACAAAAGTCATATTTATAATTATTCAAAACTCATGTAGTACCTACTTTAGACATTAATTCAGGTCAAAGACCAGCTCTAAAGTAACAGAAACTGTTTGCTATAATGTGTGGGAAAGTCTTCTTGTATGTAAATGAGCAAGGTGTACATCATAGTAAATACATGTACATGTTGAAAAAGTATTTTTTTCTACTCTCTCTCTCTCTCCCCCTCCAAAAAAAAAAAAGAATTCTTCAAAATAGTAGTAAAAAAAGTAAACAAACAATGCACATAAAAAAAGAGACCTCCACCAATCTAACTGCTCTGATTCAACTCACTGTTTCTGCTGCACCAATGATGTCCCTGTGGTGGAATATTGCAGGTGGAAGGGAGAGAGTCTGTATAGGGGTTGGTGTAGTAAAACTTTGTTCACTGAGTCCTCTCTGAACTTCTTTGGGAACACCAAGGACTTCCCAAGCACTCATATCTGCCATGGGCTCTAAAGTTTAGTTCATTCAAAATAAATGATTTAGCTATAAATATAATTGCATCTTAAACTCATAGTGTTAGTAGGAAATATCATTTTATTACAGTTGAATGCAATAAGTTATTTGTACCTGCATAGATATGACATATGTTTATAAAGGTTTTATAGTCTAAATTAATGAATACTTTATTAATAAATAACAATACAGTAATATAAAACTTATCAGTAAAATTACATTATTTATAGAAAATCATATCTTTGCCAACATAATATTATCTACACAAAATGTGTTTGATTCTCTTCTTAATAATAAAATTCAAGGACAATCATTGGAGTAAAATTGTACTTTGTTTTGTGCATTTCCCATCCATAATTCATGAAATTAAATCTTACCTGGAGGATCTTCCACCAGTCTATTGTCAGTGACCATTTCTACTCTGTTTTGCTCTTCTGACTGGGCTTTACTTTGGGCCTTGTTTTTCTTTTTCCTCTTCTTTTTTCCCTTTGTCTGTTGGTCATTCTTTGTGCTTTTTTCAAGTTGTGTGGATGGTGTGGTAACTGTTTGTTTTGGATAATCCATAAGATTTAAATAAAAAGAGAATACTATGTAGCTTTTTTTTTTTTCCCGTGAGCCAAATTTTTGGAGAAAACCGAAAAAAGTGCAGTCTGCTGTCTTTGAAAAATTTAGAACAAATTGCTATCAAAATGATTTTGATCACTTGATGTAATTCCATGAAGTTCTTATGAAGAGTGTTATTCCTGTTGTTGTTTTCTTTTTAAATGACTGTGAATATATGAAAGTCATATATTTGAACTGCGGATAAAGACACTACTTGAACAGTTTTGGAAATAAGACCTTGTTAGCTCAGTTGGTAGAGCGCTGCATTGGTATTGGTGAGGTCATGGGTTCAAATCCCATACAGGCCTGAATTTTTTCAGGCCTTATTTTCACTATTGCTCAAGTAGTGTTCATTACTGCAAAGATCACTTTCATATTCATGTTTTCTTTTTGTTTGTTTGTTTGTTTGTTTTTTCATTAAAGGTATGACTGGCAGTTATCTTAGTTTTGATTCTCATATCCAATACACCCAATCCAACTCAGGAGATGAGTCATTCCATTTAAGTCAAATCGAGTCAATTGTACAACATTTTCAAGCCTGCCTTGTAACAGGTTGAGAATTATTTATTAAGCATCTTAAAAATCCACTTTTGGTAAGACATTTCCTCCTTAAGAGGCACAGTTTATTCAGATTTCCAGTATCACAAGATGAATTAACCACTAATTGACTTCTGGTGGGTCAATTCGTAAACGATTCAACCAAATGTGGATGTATTGGACAACCCTCAACATTTAATAATTAAAGATGAGTTATGGTAAAATTTCCGCACAACCCATACTACATTATGCATTCAGTTCTTGGATAGAGAAAACAATGACAAAAAAAATACATTGCTATTGGGAAAACAGATTTGTTTTACAATAGGATAGGACTGTGCGGAAATTTTACCGGGTAATTTCACCACGTGCTTGAAGTGAATCTTATCTTCTGAATTTAACCATGCGGTACGTTTTAAAGCACTTTAAGCAATTCACCTTCTGCAGCGACCGTTCTTTTATTTTCTTCTTCCGAGCTGGTCCACCTGCACTAATTCCTGTTAGTTCTTTTAGATCATAGTCTTCCATGACTTCAAGGGACACAAATCCATCCATTTCGCCCGCAAAGAACGAAGGATCGTCCAATACTACTGGTTCCCATTTTCGCTTCTTCCCTTTCGAATTCTCCTCTGCCAGTATAAAGCTATGAGCAAAGAGCTTTAATTGAGAGACTGAATGTGCACGCTCTTTTAAATAACAACAACCGTTCTGGTTTATCCCTGGAGAGTTAATAAAGACACTCTTACACAAGCGACTAAATACAGGAATGGCTCCGACCTGTGATTGGATGATAAAAATAGTAAAAGTTCATAAGTTATATCTTAACTCCTTGCACGTGAGTATTGTTAACCGCGTGTACCGAAGCGGAACAATGAAATATCGATGCGAAAACACCGACGTGTCAAACAAGAAATGGCTACTTACATAACGAAGATAAGGCAGAGTCTATCTTCTTCAGCTAGGTCGTTCAGCGATATTCCGGCGATGAAAAAGTCATCCGCTGCCAATTTCCGCTGACAAAACTAATTTAGTCTATCTAGACGGACGACCAGAGACTGGAGCCATTCCTGTATTTCACCACTGACAGGAATGGCTCCAACTCATGCGTATATTAATTTTTGGTTCTGGCTAAATAATTTATATACAGATAAAAAGTGAAAGAGCTATTTATTAGGTTCTTCTTATGTTGAAGTCTACAGTGCTTGCAAATGAAGCCCTCTTTTATTTCTACTGGGCCATGTAGTTTCTAAGTTTTAAAATAATGCAGCAACTGCATACCATGTTTGAAAGATCACGCAAGGTTGCGTGACGCTGCCACCGATGTTTTTAATTTACAGCATGCTCTACTGGAGAAGTATGGCTTGCCCGCAATCGAGGGAATTTTTTTCGTGGAAACGGATTTTCTAGGTAATTGTTCACATGAAGGACAAACCCATTCATCGGGTTCTTGATCTATTTTTGCACAACACCCAAAGGAAGAAAGTCGCGGATCAATTTTGCTTGGTAATTTCTAACAATTCCACTAGACCTAAAAAAGGAAAAAAACAAAACAAACAAAAAAAGTGTCTTACCAGTTAAACCAGTTGCAGTAGCCCTCGCACTGAATCATATCGAAGTACCTTGACTGTTTGCAGTGATAGCACAACCAATCTTCGAACAGTTTTTGGCTATAACAAGAAAGAGTAAAATGATTTTATAAAACATGTTCCAAAATTAATGAAGGCTGTTCATCACATGACATAGTATTGGAACGAGTATATCTCATTAGTTATCGTATCACACTACTGTTTTAGACAAGGTATTTATACCACTTAAATTTAAGAAAGAATGAGTGGACCATAAACTACATTTTCTGTACGAGCCATCCTAACCTAATTTGCCAACTGCTTTCCAGGCATCATCTGTAAAAAAACCTCTTCAATTTTTCAAATTTGAAAATTTTCAGCTAAAACCGCGGCTCCCAAAAAATATTTCTCATCTTGCCTAATAAATTTTCAAAAGAAATTTTCAAATTTTCACAACTTTGCCTATTCCTACTCGTAGGTCCAGGTAAGCCCTTATGGTCACTGGTCATAGCTGCTAACAATGGTTTATAACTATACGCGTTTAGTGTTACCTCGTAAAACTCCCCGAAGAAGTTACGAGAGTTAGACGAAACGCGTCAGAGAATAAAGAAGTTTTACAACTACTGTTCGTACAGCACTGCTCACCATTTTAGTTTTAAATTTTTAAAATTTTTTTTTAAAAATTACTAAAAAGTTATTGAAAAAAAATTAATAAACGTTTGAGTCGGAGCTATTCCTGTCAGCGGTGAAATACAGGATTGGCTCCAGTCTCTGGTCGTCCGCCTGAACTGACCAAATGAGTTTTGTCAGCGGAGCTTGTTAGCCGATGACTTTTTCATCGCTGGAATATCGCTGAACGACCTCGCTGAATAAGAAAGGCTGCCTTCCCTTCGCTACGTAAGTAATCATTTCTTTTTTTACAGATCGGTGTTTTCACTCGCATTGATATTTCATTGTTCCGCTTTGAGACACGCGGTTAACAATACTCACGGGCAAAGAGTTAAGATATAACTTATTAACTTTTACTATTTTTATCATCCAATTACAGGTCGGAGCCATTCCTGTATTTAGTCGCTTGTCACACTCACACGTCGTCCGCCATCATGGATTACCTGACAGAGAAAGACTGGATATGAAATCGTACTGCGCGCGACCACTGCGCGCATATTCAAACGGGACTCATGCGCTGAGTTATTGCTACATGGTTTTTCTCCCTACGCTGAGTTTGCTGAAACATTTGTGAAACGTGAATGAAAAGACTAACATGGCGAAAGAACACCGTACATTCAAAGAGGAGTGCTCTTATATTGAGCGCTTAAATGGAAACTCGTTTCTTATCAAGAAAGGCTTTGTCTCAAACATGAAGGTAAGTGAAAGCGCCAAACATCGGATCGGAAGCCCAACTCCAGCTGACTAGCGTGCGCGTCAAAATACATGTCCAACGATTTAATACGTGAGAATGATGATGATAAGCTATGTTCATCGAAATAAATCCCCGTACATCTGCCATATCCGTCAACGTAATTTCCTTCTTTGAACTAAGTTTTGTTTCAAGAAAAATTGTTTCTGGGACAACTAGATTCCCCCCCCCCTCCACCTTTTCAACCCACGTTACGATCAAATCCTATCCCCCTGCCACCTTCTCTCATGTCAGGAATATTTTCATTTTTTGTTTTGTTTTGATCCAGTCAGTCAATTCACGAACTACAGTCAAACCAGTCTTCAGTGGCACTGTATAATTTTAAGCACTCATCCTGTATTGAATGCCATTCCCATGGGTGACGGCTTAATACAGGTTTGACTGTAATGGAGAATTGTATTTGTCCTCACTTCCTCCATCAAACCCAAATTATATCCATGATTGACTTCATGACCCCTAATTTCTCTCATTTTCCTCAAGTTACTGACTGTGGCATTTTTCTGGAAATTGTCAATGTAAGAATGTTCTAATTAATTGGTACCATAAACAAATTTTTACATACTGTTTCAGATATAAGACTAGTAGAGGTGTACGTTGCAGCTATTCAACTCCAAAGTTTAAACTATTCTTTTTTTTTTTTTCCTTTAAAGGTTGAAGGTATCATCTACAAAAATGAGTTGCTTGAAAAGCCAATGTTTGATGAGCTGAAGCACTGGGCTGGAACTCAAGGTACAGTACTCTGAACATTTGGAATATAATACTGTTGTATTTCCTGCATTTGTCTTATTTCTTTTATACAATTAAATGAAATTCCTCTCCATGTATTGGTGGTTTCCTTCTTGGTGTAAAGCAGATTGCAAATATTGCAGCTTTGCCTGGAATTGTTGGTGTAAGAATGATCATAACTTTTTCTTGTTGAAATTACAACTTAGTTTAATTGAAACTTGTTCAATCCTGGACCCAGTTGTTCAAAGGCTGATAAGTGCTAACCCAGGGTTAAATTTTAATCAGGGTATGTTTAATTCTTTGCTTAAAAGCCTTTTTAGAAAAATTTGCTATAGTTTTTCTAGGACATCCAATCTTCAAATTGCAGACTAAAAGAATTGTACATACTGAATTTTATTTGAAAGCTTTCAGATATGAAATCAGATTTCACACTGACTGTTAGTTATCTAAACTCAGCTTTTAACAAAGGGACCCTGTACTCTTGGGAAGTAGAGAAAGTATAAAGTGGAGATGACAGAAGAGTTTCTTGCTATACAGTTTGTGTTTCCATAGTATTTTTACACAAAGATTTCACTTAAAGTGATGCCAAATAGAGCATCCAGTTATCCAGTTAGATCCAGGTATCCCATTATTTTAGAATGTGGGTTTATTGAACTTTCTCTGTGGTAAAAGTTTTATTTCCTTCTCAATACATCTAGAAAATTCTGAAATTGAATTTGTCATCTCTGAAAGAACTTGTCATCTCATCAATCAAACTTTATGAATGACAATATACCCCCAGCCAGAGCAATTTTTAATCATTCTCTTTTGTTGAAAAGTACTTAATTTTGATAACACGCCAAAACAATACCACCAAACAACAATATCAAAAAAGGCTATGTATCTCAGTTTCTATTCTGAAATGTTTATTCATATTTTTTTTACTTGGCCTTCAGAGATCAGTTGGACAACCAGATGTTCATTCTGGCTATGGGTTTGCTATTGGTAAGTTACAATTCACACATTTGTGATAATTAAGGTGTCATTTTGTTGTGAATATGTTTGTTGATTGTAGTTGTTTGAAGTATGGTGTCATGTTATTAAAAAAAAAAATCATACTTAAGTTATTTGTCAACAATGAAGTTTCCTCGTCATAACTCAAAGTGAGAGCCCTTTGATGAAGTTTATAGTTTCTTTTCAAACTGGTAATGTGCTTAAAACAACTTCGGTTGGTCATGGTGAAAAATTCACTTTCTGAATTCAGTATAGTTGTTTGTCTTGCTATTAAGTCACTTTGGATGTGGAGCGTGACTTTATGACTGCATATCGTGTCTTCTTCATGCTATAAGGTTGGTAGAAATGCATGACATTATGAAACTCTCTGTTTGGCTGTGATTGGCTGGAATCCCACACAGTAGCATGGTGAGGTTATCGCTATAACTCTCTAGGTGGAGATTAGCAATAACGGCAGAGACCATACTCCTCACAGCTGCGCCTTCTGTCTTTCGTAAATTGGTCCAAGATAATAAGAGTATGTAGACCTCAATGCAAGGTTTGAAAAGTCTGCAATCTGACAAACGGTTATACTTCATATCAAGCGCTAGTGTCATCATCAAACGTTCATTTAGTTACAGCATCTAATGTGTTCAGTGTAAATGATATTGGAATACCTCCGATTTTCCATGGACATGTTATTTATTTACCTCTTAGTTCAACCAAATGTGGATATTTCTGGAGCAAGCAATCTCATCACAGAAGAAAGATAACAAAGGAGGAGGAAGGGTGGTACACTTGTAAGGCAAAGAATGCAGCTGGCTTTTCCACCAAAGACATTGAAATTTCTGTAAAGGGTGTGTTTGTAAAGCTCACAACTGTATTCTAAATCAATCATGCATTTGATATGTCTAAGGAGTGTGGATCAATAGTCAGTGGGCCTGACTTTAGATTAAGGGGTCTGGGTCTGAGCTAAGGGTAGGGTCGTTGTAGAAAATTATGGGAAAAATTGAAAAAATGCAAGGGCTTTCAACTATTACCTGCAACTGATTCACCAGCGAGGACCAGGTCCTGGATGAGTAATTCATCACACCACTTGATTAGCTTTTCATTGTGAAGAACTGGAAAGTCTTTATACTTGTTCTTTTGTTCATGTTATAAAATATGATGGTTTCATGGGTAAGTTAGTAATATAGCAGCCTGACTGACATGGCTTTTGAAAGCATTTGTTTGATATTATCAAAAAGTGGTCCATTGTCTTCTTCTTCTTCATTTTAATTGTTATTTATTTATTTATTCCTTTTTTTAATATTATTTTTTTTCTTTTTGCATGTGGGAGGGGGGGGGGGTGGCTTCTAATTTTGCAATTTTTGTTCATGTGCTTACTTTGCAGCTCCACCCCGTGTTAGTAATAATTTTGTAACTTTTGTTCATATGCTTACTTTGCAGTTCCACCCCGTGTTAGTAATGAGTCTAGAAATCTCACCATTGCATTGAACTCCACATTTACAAAAGAGTGTTATTTGAGAGGTGATCCACAAATCACGTCTGTCAACTGGACCAAGGATGGAGTGCTCCTTAGTAAAAACAACACCTTGGTTATTAGACAAGTGATGTTTAAAGATAAGGGCAATTATGAATGTACTGCTAAAAATGATTATTGCAAAGCAAACTCTTCCTTCTGGATTGATGTCACAGGTAAACTTTATATTGTAGTTTATGTCATTTATCAAACTTTTAACTTAACAAAGCATTTGTTTTAAAGTTTAAGCCAAATTTAAATAGACCTATTTTTTTTCTCTTTTCATCCATTTCCTTTGAAAATGTTGACGACCAAGGAACTAAGGAGTCATGATCTTATGATTCATTTTCATAAGTGTTAAAGGTAGTTCATCAACTTGGATATGAGTGTATCATTACCTAAATATTAATGACTGAAGTTGGAAAGAGATTACAAAGGAACATTCATATAACTTGTTTCAAATTACCAACTTTAGTACTCTTTTTTCTAGAAAAAGGTTCGTGGTCACATACAGTTGATTCTGACTCACACACACCCAGATTGTAAATGAAGCTAAATCCGTAACCAAAGAAATGATTAAAAACACCTTCCGCTTTTAAGAAATTGCAAATCCTGTGGTCTACTCTGACATTTTTATCCGTGAACTCATGTTAAAACGCACAATTTGGATATGTCAAATGACAGATTTTCTTTCTTTCTTTTTTTTTAATACAGAATGCAAATGTTTTACATTGTTTTGATCATCAATGCCTAATAACTTTTGGAATTCAATATAAACTGTTAAAGAAAGGAAACTGGTAGTCATTGACCATGTGTTTTAACATCACACTCAACAACCAAAAAGAAAATGATAAATGTTATTGGGACAACTGGGACAAGTTAAGGTTAAACAGTATATCTTTATGCTAAGCGCGGAGAAAAACTTTGGAAAAAATTGACCATGGTCAAAAATAGGCTTGAACATCGCGTTTTTTTGTGACCATCATTATTCAAACCTTATTAATTTTGGATTTTTTTTTTAATTTAAGTCTCTCCCCAGACTATAGAGCCTCCAATAAACCAGTCTGTTACCGAGGGAAACTCTGTGAGCTTTAGTTACCGAGCTTCAGGTGTGCCAACACCAGCATAAGTCTGGGTTTTTAATAATGCTGACCTGCCATCTGGTATCAATCAATTCAATCACGAAGGAGAATCATTCCTGGAATTTTCAAGCGTCACAAAAGGGATGGAAGGGACTTACAAGTGTAAAGCGAAACATAAAGCAAATACAACAAAGTTTCAACACTCTGTGGTATTACATTGGTGGAACAGTGGCGGCAGCGATTGTCATTTCGCCAATTGCCTGGTATTTCTGCAAGCGTCGAAGGACAGGTGACGTCCATTTTTCTGTGTTATTTCAGATTTCTTTGTCTGAAAGTAAAAGAAGGAGATTTTATAAGAATAACTCGCGTTTGGCCAAAAAATGCCAATTTTTTAGAGTTTTCACTTGTGTATATGGTGTCATCATGATTATCATTTCTGTTATTGCTTGCGGTGTTTTGATAATAATTACAAATTAAGAAAATATCACGTCTCTCCTAATTTGTGCAACTTCGAAGTACGCTGCCTTTACACAGAAATTTTATCAGAATATTCGATTTAATAAATTAATGCAAAGTTTTACCTTCTTTATCTCCTTTAATTCATCATTTGGAATTGCAGCTATGGCTCTGCAAGGCAACTATCAAATCATCGAAAAAAAAAATACACCATTACCCTCCTCATGGGTCATCAGCTTGCATGATGACGATAACAAAAATCATATCGCAGTGACTTTACTTTTATCGTGTTTATGATGCATTATTAACATTCATCAAGTGCTGTTAGAATCGGCTTCATTAGTTCCTTTGTTTAAATTTTTTTTTATCTCTTTAGTATCTTCTATCAATTTAATAAATTAATGCAAAGTTTTACCTTCTTTGTCCCCTTTAATTCATCATTTGGAATTGCAGCTATGGCTCTGTAAGGCAACTATCAAATCATCGAAAAATAAAATACACCATTACCTTCCTCATGGGTCATCAGCTTGCATGATGACGATAACAAAAATCATATCGCAGTGACTTTACTTTTATCGTGTTTATGATGCATTATTAACATTCATCAAGTGCTGTTAGAATCGGCTTCATTAGTTCCTTTGTTTAATTTTTTTTATCTCTTTAGTATCTTCTATCTATTTTCGGTTTGATTAATTCATAGATTTAATACTTTGAAAAAAAAATTGAAATACACTAAGCAAACGACGAAGCTATTGTTGAACTTCGTCCAGTAGACAAAGTGTACTTAAATAACAAGTGTTTTCGATTCGTACGAGAGAAAAAAAACGCTATTTAAAGGGTACTTGCTGTGGAAGACGGAAACAATTTTGTTATGGCAAAATGGAATGCTTGTTTAAAAACTGGACGAAATGAGAGCACGTATGAGCGTTTAATTTTGTAAACTATTCAAACACAAGTTTTATTTAACATAATGTGAAACTGCAATAAGCGTGTAAGTCTCCTGGCCTTTAATAACAACACCACAAACCAAATTCGAATGAAGATTTATTGTAGCCGACGTGCTTGGTACTAAGAGTGTGCATACAAACAGCGTGGGTTGAAAATTGTTTCGGCCAGAGAAAACTGCTGTAAAGCGGACTGCGAATAACGCGAAGAGACTTGCAAGAAACTAAACAGAACTGCGCTAAGCGCGGACCAAAATGAACTGCCCAAACTGTACTGCAAAACTACGATAAATCTTCATTCGAATTTGGTTTGTGGTGTTGTTATTAAAGGCCAGGAGACTTACACGCTTATTGCAGTTTCATCGTTGAAAATTGTTGGTGACATGTCGTTTCGTCATGAGCTTTAGCCGCAAGCAGCTTACAGATCCCGTCGCTCGGCGAGTTGGAACACGCGTACGACAACCAAACCGTTCGCTGGATTTTGAAGCGTCTAACCTGGAAACACTTCGTTTAAAGAAAAATTCAAGGTCTGGTCACCTATCTACCGTAACCGCCATTTCCAATGAAATTTCTGGCTTGCTTACTGATGATCATAATCTTCAGGAGGTTAAAGAGAAGCTTCCTTACTTGGACAACGCTTTTGAAAGATTCAAAGAGGCCCATCGCGATTACGTCGAAGAAATTCTGGATGAGAACGCCATTATTGAGGGTCAACGCTATCTTGAAGACAAAGAGAGAAAGGTTCGTGTGTTCCGTTAGGAGATCGTCGAATGGATAATTAATATTGGACACAAGCTATTAGCAGAATCGCTTCAGGTAGATTCGGCAGTGAATCCCGAGGATTCAATTAGTTGTGCTGGCACACCAATTCCTTCAGGTGCTTCCAAGGTTTCAAAACATTCAAGTCGAGCAAGTTCACGTGGTGGTCGTGCTTCATCAGTTGCAGCCGCGAGAGCCAAAGAAGCCGCAAGAATTGCCGAGTTAAAAGCTGAAATTTCTATGCTCGAAAAGCGCCAAACACTCGAAGAGAAAAAGTTTCGTTTACAGCAGGAAGAATTACGCCTTAACCTCGAAGCCGAAATGATCAAGACAACAGCTAAGGAGAGGGTCTACGCAGCAATGACCTCCCCTTCTCTACCGGAGGTGAAGCCTTTAAAATTGGAGACAGAGCTCCAGGATCAGGAACCCCCTCGTACCAGCCCCCGCGCGAAAAGGTCTTTTCCAGGCGAGGTGCACCACCCAGGCCAGGGCGTGTCTATGGATTCTGTTCCTTACGGCCAGTTTGATTATCAAGCCTGTACAGTCGGTGAGGATCTGAGAAAGGAAACGATTGGTTTGCAGCGGCGACAGACTGCTCTTCAGTTTCAGCAGAACAGAATTATGGAATCGCTAGCGCATAATCAGAATAGGAACAAACTTCCGCAGCCCCGTGTCCCTGTGTTTGACGGAAACCCTATTGAGTACCGCACCTTCGTTCGCGCTTTTGAAAATTTGGTTGAATCCAGAACATTTAGCAGTACTGATAGACTCTATTACCTCGAGCAGTTCACCGCAGGGGACGTTAAGGAACTTGTAAGATCCTGTCATCATTTACCAGCGGAAGAAGGTTACGATGAGGCTCGTAGGCTTTTGAGAAGGAAGTATGGTGACGATTATCGCACAGAAACGCTAACGAGGGCGCGAAAACTGACAGAAAGGAATAAACACCTAAATTAACGCCAAAAAAAAAAGACTAAACAAATGGACGAAAAGAAGTATAAGCTAATTTGCGTACGCAAAGGAAAAACAAATTACGCAAGAACGAATAATAGAAAAAATGTTACACTTGGATCTTACATAATGTAAGACACTCTATTTAATATCTGCAATAAAAAGATTAGAGGCTTATCTTATGACTATTTATTGATTACCAAGTCAATTACGATTAAAAACATTCCGTATCCTCATTAAGATTTTGGATGACGTCATCAGGCTGAAGCGATTGGCACATCTACAAAATAGCATTTTAATGTATATCACTAAATAAAATGTCTACATTTTCAGCTTTTCACACTTGAGGACGAAACTATAGGATGTCGTGTCGTTGACGCATGCTTTACTGGTCTGTTTAGAAGTGGGTGTTTGTCTAAGGAAACCTTGAGTTTGTCATCATAATAACAAAGGAGTCAGTAAGGATTTTTCGATGTTTCGCAGTTATGAAATACACTGGCAGTCGAAGAATCAGCAATATTTCTTAACTAATTTGATAATTTCAAGACCCACTTGAAGAATAAGTTGTAAATGCCTCTGTTATCAATGTTCTGATCCACTGTATTGCCGAAGTGTTTCATTCCAGATTGACTGACCATGGCATATATCTCCGCGATTTATCTTTCCTCTGATATAATACTATGCCGGCTGAAGAAAATCACAAATTTTTATTATTTCGTTTATTACCATTATTATTATTATCATTATTACTATTTATATTATTATTTATCTATTCAATATTACTTTTTTTATCAACTATAAATCGCAGCTTATTAATTACCACCTCAGACCCAACGTATAGGCTTTTTACCCCGGGGTTTGCATAGTGGCAGAGATCTAATTAACCAATTGAGCAAGTGCTTTATGAAATTTCCCACGACCTCGAGTCAGATATTTCAATCTGGACTTGAATTTAAAAAAGTCGCTCTAAAAGTGCGTGCGAATTTGGTTAAAATTCCAAAGAAAAAGAATCCTAAAAGCGTACTGGGTCTTAAAATAGAAATCCAATGCAAGAGAATTCTGGAAGTGCGCGAGATATCAACGTAACAATTGAAGGAAAGAAAACCTTAAAAGTTTAAGCGATACTTACGTAACAATCCAATGGAAGAGGATCTTAAAGGTACGCGAGATATCAAAGTAATAATCGAATGTAAGCCAAGCCTAAAATGCACAAAATACTAATGCACCTTTCTAATAAAGGAGTATCCCAAGAGTGCATGATAATCTAACGCAATTTCAATAAAAAAGAATCCTAAAAGTGTGCGGAATATTAAGGTAAAAAATCTAGTGGAAGAGAATACAAAAAGTGTGCGAGATATTAACGTAACAATAGAGTGAAAGAGGGCTACACTCTTGCACTTCCAGCAAGGCCTTCATTCTTCTCTTCTGGGAGCTATACTCTTGCACTTCCAGCCCGGTCTTCATTCTCTTCTTTCGGGGGGTTCCACTCTTGCACTTCCAGCAAGGCCTTCATTCTTCTCTTCTGGGAGCTATACTCTTGCACTTCCAGCCCGGTCTTCATTCTCTTCTTTCGGGGGGTTCCACTCTTGCACTTCCAGCGAGGTTTTCATTCTCTTCTTCTGCGTGGTACACTCTTACACTTCGAGCCAGACCTCAATTCTCCCCTTCCAGGAGGATACGCTCTTGCAATTCCAGCCAGGTCTTCATTCTCTTCTCCTGGGGGGCACATTCTTGTGCTTCCAGCCAGGCCTTTATTCTCTTCACTTCACTCTCTTCTTCTGAGAGCTATCCTCTTGCACATGACTTTGTTCAAAGGGCACATTTTAAAGTCATTATGAGCATCTGGAATATGATTAATTACGTGTCTGTCGTTTTTCAAACGACAAAAATTCATTTCAGGATCGATGACTTATGATGAATTATGGGATGACCATATT